AGTTTGAATTTTTCTGTCACAAGCCACTAAGAGACTGGGTTAGAAGGGACAGGCACGGCCGTCTTCACGCAAATGAAACTCAGAATGCTGTCTCACGTCCCGTTGCAGCTTTCCAGACACAGCGGGAATCAAAGGCCGCGGTGGCCGTCTACACAGGCAGATAGGCCTCAAGTGTGCAAAGCTTTATTATGTGAAGTGAGAGAATTGGCAGAGAAAAATCTCTTCTCATGAAAAGTGATGAGAACAGCAGGGACGCGCGGGGCGGTCTGGGCTAAGAAGGCGAGCGTCTGTTTTCTTGAGCTAGCTTGTCTTCCTGTCAAGCGGGAAATGGTCCAGTATCCAAGGCCTACAGAGACCCATGCTAGGAGGAGCCGCACCTCCACCATTCGGTTCTACTGAAAATGAAGGCAGTCTATTTTTGACACCCAGGAGGAAAGGTCCAGAGCCTTCCCTGGGAACAGCTTCCAGGGCTTTGCCAATAGGTCTGCAGTGTACGGAAATCCCTCTAAGTCCTCCTTAAGTTCTTCTCAGCAGCACTAAACACATTGCTTTGTTTCGAGTTACGATCTGGCTAAGGAGCCTGTCTGGCCACTGTAAACTAGGGTGGCTTGAGCCTTCTGAGGGCGGAGATTACAGGAGCCATGTTCCCGTGTCTTCCTTATGAGTGCAAAGATTATAGGCATGCACCGCTTTCCAAAACTCCCCTGCCCCATCCTTTACCCTTTCTGTCTCTTTCTATATGCTCCTGCAAATACACACTCCAATCAGAAAAAGCTAATTTTAAAGGAGCAGCCATAGGAAGACAAGACTTGAGAAGTTGAGCTGAACACAGACATTCCTGATGTCCCAGCTTTGGCTACCAAGGCCTTAGGAAGACACTGACTCAGAAACACAGATGAGGGTGACCTCTTACTCTGACGAAGTTTCTTTTTTGCTTTGATTTTTTTTTAATCAATATGTCAGTATTAGGAAGTTTTGGATGACAGAGCACAACCCAAGGCACTATGGGTTGGAGGGTGACCTGGACACATTTAGGATGTGGGGTGAACACTCATGTCACCTTTCCAGCTGTCCCGAGGGAAACTTAAGGACATAAGGAGCTCCACGGTTATCAAAAAAGTTGCCTGTGGATTTAGACTAGACTCCCTGTAGGTGCTCCAGGTGTTGATTCCTGTCTTCCCTCATAGGGGTCAGGCTCATTTACTAGGGCAACTGGGATCTGGAAGCAGACTTCCTTCAGTGATACCAAGCTTTACAGGTTAAGCATCCGATGACAGAACTGTGGCCACATCCTTCTTTTCTAGAAGTGCTATGCTAATAGTGCTCAAGTTTACGTAACTGCATGAAATTATTTATGTGGCTGTCTTGTTCCCAGCACCCCGAGGCGACGGCCAGCAAGAGGCAGTGAGCAGCTGAAGTCAATTCAGCTTACTTCTGTGACATTTGTGCTACAGCTTTGCGTGCTTCTGGGAGACTGAGGGGAAGGCAGAAGAAGCTCCTGAAATCATCTCAAATAGCTGCCGACTGCAGTGGCCCCTCAGCCACTTCTCAAGAATGTCCCTGGGTTGGCCAACTTGTGCCAACCTGTTTGCTTCTCTGCAAGAAACAAATGATCCCTTCAAACTCGATTCCTGTGCTTACAAACTTTGCCAGGTAAATGTGGCCTGGAAAATGCTCTTATCCTTCCCTCCCCAGCTCTGGGACTCCAGGCCAAAATGTTCTAAAAAGTACTTAGTCCAAGAATTATGACAAATATTCCAAAATTATTCTTAACAAAAGTGATGAAAACACTTCCAATATTTCTATATTTTAGTGTCTAACCTTATTACTCTATGAACATAAAATATCAAAACCAAGAGTGTGACAGGGGAGTCCAAACCAAAGTACCACACCTGCACATCGGTGTTTGTTTCAGCATGATTCACAATAGCCAGGGTTTGGAGCCCAGGTAGATGCCACAACAGATGAATGGATAAGGAATATGTGGTATATATGTAAAATGTAGTCTTAGTCAGCCATAAAAAAAAGAACAAAATTACATCCTTTGCAGGAAAGCAGATGCTGATCTAACTCTCATGCAGATGTTAAGTGAAACAAGCTTTATTTGCCTAAAAGGCAAATACCAGATTTTCTCTCACATATAGAATCTAGATTTGAATATACATGACAAGAAAGTAGAATGGAGACTATGGGATGGGGGAGGAAGCAGTCTAAAGAGGGAGGGTAAAAGGGTAATAGAGACAGGTGAGAAAGAATTGTACATTTTATTTCATATGTAGACTATGAATTTAGGCATGTGTCTGTGCGCACAAGCATGCAGGCACATGCAAGGCGGAATGCTTGGGGGAGCAAGGAGACCAGCATGAGTGAGGAAGAAAGTAAAGGGGGGCAGTGGGGGACAAATATAAGCCAAGTGCAATGAACATATATACCATTTCCATAATGACACCCAGTATTTGCAAACTAACTAAAATATTGATAAAATGAACACACAAAGGTATGGAGTTGAGATGTCTGTGCCATTTAAAGCCCAGAGCTTGTTCCATATGGGGTGGAGAACAGGACTGTAACGCTGAACAAAAGAACTTTGCGAGAAGGAAGAAAAATGCTAATGTTAAATTTGGCTTTTGTCCAATAGCTTTAGTCTAGTTTCTCCCAGTTACACTGAGGCCCACTCCGCCATGGCATTTGGAATCTTTCTGTATGTGTGTGTGCGCACACATGTACACGTGTGTATACTGTGTGTATTGAAGCGTATCCTAAGCAGTTGGTACTATGACAAGACGTCCTTCAAGGAAGCAAGAGGAAGATGTCTCTGGTGACACTACATGCTGGACATCAGCCTGGGCACCAAGGACACAGTGGTCACCACACGAGCCATGCTAATGAGGTGTGACGTGGGTTGTAAGGGAGGATCTCCAATCAGGAGCATCTAAGTGCAGTCTCTTGAGGAACAGAGGGAGGGTCTGTGAAAGCCACTGGGTGTGGGGGGAGGATGGGGAAGGCCGTCCATGCTGTGAACTGTTTGTAGACTGAACAGAAATTAGCCATGCTCACGGGACAAGATACAGGAAGGCAGGAGTTCTAGGAAGACAGACTACAAATGGGAAAGTGTTTCCCACACAGGGTGGGGGGGGGGGAGCATGAGCTTTCTGATTGCCGAATGCAATACTCTTGACTTTAGAGGGTTCAAACTAATTGTTCTCAAATTATGTATCACTAATTAAATTTTTCTTGGACAAGTCATCTCAGCTGTCTCCATTCATACTCTCCCAAGAGTGGCTTGCCAATCAGCAGTAACCGAGCTGCTATTCGTGATCTCATTTCCTATTCCAGAAGGGTGGCTTCTAAGCCCCCAAGCTTGGATTTCAGAAAGGCATGCGAAACACACCCCATCCAGACCACTTTGCTATAAACTCCTCCACAGATTCCCAGCAACCTCAAGGGCCAAATGTCAGCAAGTGGAAGGCTCCTCGACTTGAAAAACTGTAGTTCAAGGTACATTTCCCCTGTAATGTCTCACTCAGCCAAATCAGCTCACGGGCTGTAGGCCATGGAATCCAGCCTAATAAGGGCGCTGTCTAAAACACAGGCAAGCTACACACGACGATAAGGTAATCACAGCACTTATTAGTAATAGTGGGAAAATTGTAAGGCAGAAAACAGCAACCTTAAATGCACCTAAATGGGGGAGTGATTAGATAACAGTGATATATCCGTTTCTGGAATTTATTCAGCTCTTAGCAAAGATAACAATTTACCATGACATAGGAAACGCGAGGAAGGACACAGATTGTGGGAAAATAAAGTACATGGCATTGTGTGTATATTAAAACTGCAACTCTGCAACATATATAAATAAGACAATGCTGGAGAGAAATCCCGTCAGCACAAGAACAATAACCGCTGTGTGTGTGATGCGATTATGAGTTCCCAATTTCCTGTAACACATTTATAACGGCTTTGTTATTGGAATCCTGTTGAAAGCATTAACTCTTAAAGTTCGTAATTGGATCATTTGTCAAGTGCAAGCAGCAAGTCCAAGGCTACAGAGACAAGTGTGCATATGAATCATTTGTGTCCTGTGTGCCTTGACAATGAGCACACAGGCAGCATTCCATCCCTATGATGAACTGAACCATCTTCATGGCATGACCAGAGTCCGGCAACCTCTGGACTTGGTGTTTTTGTTTGTAATCCCAATACACACGTGACAATGTAAGTGTGTGTGTGTGTGTGTGTGTGTGTGATGGAAAAGTAGACTATCCTGAGAACAATATTCGAGAATATAAAATCAAAAGAGTCATAAAAGTTGAACTTGAACCAGATTTCAACAGTATTAAAGCCATGGAATTATCCCATCATTCTTGAGGTTCTGGGTAAAGCAATGGCCTTCTCAAAAGCCAGGTGAGCACAGCTGGGACCTGAGATTCTGAAAGCTTTTGTGACTTTTGTATATATACACATTTCTCATCTCAGTTTCTCAAAATGTTTGCCATTGATGGAGACAGCAACCCAAGCCATGGGGTGAAAGGGAGGGTGTTAGCCCTCAGGGGACAGCCAGAGAACAGAGTGTTTTTTTCTTTCTTTAGGCACAATGAAAGCTTAATTTGAAAAGAAGGAACTCTTTCCTCTCTGAGGGAGACTGCATGGGTTTTAGTGGCACAGGAGTTATTTAGGTTACAATGCTGTTAGCTCCTTCCAAGCAGACAGAATAGTTAACGGTAGCTGCGGAAGTGCCTTTTCTCGAAGTTCTTAACAATAGGTTATATATATACATCTGGCCTTGAACACCAGAGGCATGATGTACATAGAAATAGAACGAGCAAAAATAGCATACACACGAAATGCCTTGGCGTGTCCCAGCCATTGTTACACAGGTCTGGCTAGACAGAGACATAAAACAGCAGACAATCCCTTTCGTCCATCACCAAATCTACCTCTGCAGCACATTCAATAATCACAGAAGAAACCAGGAAAGTGGCCCCAGAGGGACGTACCTGTACTAGGAGCTCCAGCTTCCTGTCATCAAGGAGATGTACTTGACATCGACGGCCCTCCGTCATCTGTGGGAGAAGACAAACAGTGGTCATGGGGAATCTAGGAGACAGATGACGTTCTCAAAGGTCTGAATTCCACCCGGCACCATCCCGTGGCTGAGGCTTCCCTCACTGGGGGCTGGCCATGTAATGCCAAAACGTGGCTGGACTGTCGATCATTCCAGAAAACATTTATGGAGCTCTTTTTGTGTACCAACTGGTTTGATGAAACTTGTTAGACAATGGCACACAGGTGGTATCTGGGCCTTCAGGTGTTTCTCTAACCCATGGAGCAGATGTGAAATGAATCAGCAGCACATCTGTAACATACTGCTGGATGGTGGTGTGATTCAGCCTTCATCCATTCCTTAACATCTGTCACCATGAACAAAAGGCAAAGCTCAGGATCCTGTCTTCAATTCATCATTTCCCTTGAGGCCTAGCCTAACTGGCAAACCCTAGGCCAGAGAGACTGTCTCAAGAAACAAGATGTTAAGGGATATCACCTGAGGTTGACATTTAGTTTCCACATGGGTATATATGTATATGTGTGTACTCGCACACCTTGTATAACACAAACACATCCACACCCACAGACACACACAAAGTATGGATAATGGTAAGGTATAGTAAGAGTTAGGATTTCTAGACTTTGATTATTACCTTTATTTTTAAGATAATAATCTGTTTAATTTAATTATCAAATTTTAATTTTGATAATGGCTAGATTTTACACATAGTATCCCAAAATTCTGTACCAAAAAAAAAATGGCAGTTGGATTTTACTAACTGGATCCAGTACCACCACTGAGGTTCAATGATCTGTAGGTATCTTACACGACTCTACAGCAGCGGTTCTAAACCTGAGGGTTATGACCCCTTTGTGGGATAGAATAACCCTTACACACATGCCACATATCAGATATTTATGCTATGATTCATAACAGAAGCAAAATTACAGTTATGAAATGACAACAAAAACAATTTTATGGTTTGGGGTCAGCACGGCATGAGGAGGGTATTAAACCTCTGCTCTCCAGACTCTCTAAGGACCACTCCCCCCCATCCCCCCCCCCCCCCGTAACCATCTACAGCTACGTTAAACACGTGCGAAGGATGCACTCAAGTACACCCTAGCCTTATCACTCTTCATCAAAGTCCTTGTTCAGGGAAGACAGAAAGACACCACATCTTACTCCAGTGAATTATTCCACCAACAAGTCCAAAGGTGTCCTGAAATCCCATGAGAAAATGCCCTCTCTTTCTCTTTCTTCCTTCCATCATTCAGAGCTCTCCAGTTGGGACGCTAAGTCAGACTGCTGTTTGGACGCCTAATCGCAAAGGGCTCTTCCTTTTGAGTGCTATCCATGACTCAGCAGGCAAGTTTTACATAACTCAGATACCAATAAAGGGATTAAAACAGATTTAAAGTAGGGGGAAACTTCAGCCTCTAGGCTTGCTATTTTGCAAATATGAGCTCGGTGAGGTGGCCTCAGGCATGATATGACTCTATGAGAGGTCCTCTTCTGACCTTTGAGTCTTAGGCGACTCCAGCCACCCCATTAGCCTTGACCATAGATAGAGACATCCTAGGCTGAAGTTATTTTTTTTTAATTTATTTATTTATTAAGGATTTCTGCCTCGTCCCCGCAACCGCTTCCCATTTCCCTCCCCCTCCCCCGATCAAGTCCCCCTCCCTCATCTGCTCGAAGAGCAATCAGGGTTCCCTGACCTGTGGGAAGCCCAAGGACTGCCCACCTCTATCCAGGTCTCGTAAGGTGAGCATTCAAACTGCCTAGGCTCCCACAAAGCCAGTACGTGCAGTAGGATCAAAAACCCACTGTGATTGTTCTTGAATTCTCAGTATTCCTCATTGTCCGCTATGTTCAGCTAGTCCGGATTTATCCCATGCTTTTTCAGACCTAGGACAGCTGGCCTTGGTGAGTTCCCAATAGAACATCCCCATTGTCTTAGTGTGTGGGTGCACCCCTCGTGGTCCTGAGTTCCTTGCTCGTGCTCCGTCTCCTTCTGCTCCTGATTTGGACCTTGAGATTTCTGTCCGGTGCTCCCATGTGGGTCTCTGTCTCTGTCTCCTTTCATCGCCTGATGAAGGTTAATATTCATGAGGATGCCTATCCCAGCACTCGGGAGGCAGAGGCAGGCGGATCTCTGTGAGTTCGAGACCAGCCTGGTCTACAGAGGCTGAAGTTATTTTAAAACAACAAAAACCCCATCTTTATTTCAGTCACTCCCTTTTTGAGTTGAATGAAAGTCATTACAACTTTAAATTAGATTGAAATCTATGCTGTTATGCCAACATTTAGAATTGATTCTTTCATCCAAAAAAGTCACGTCAGAAATGCTAACTTCCAGTAATAACAGGGCGCCTAATAGTCACAGCATGGTGACTTTGAATATGATTTTAGAACTATAGCCATCCGGCTCTCATTAACATCATTGTGTATGAGTGTGTCCTAGGAAGGAATGTGGTACAACCATCGTGCATGCTATTTTGAAGTTCTTTAAAAACAAAGAAAACATTCATCACAGGCCTGAGAAGGTGACCTATGCCCTTAATTCCAGCAGTTCAATGGTGGAGGGAAGTAAATCAGGAGTTTAAGGCCAATCTGTGCTATGTAGTGATACATAATAATACCGAGGCCGGCCTAGGGTACATGAGACCCACTCTCCAACAAAAATAAAGAAGCAAAACAGAACAAATAAAAATAAATAGATCAGGAAGTTTAAAGTCATCTTTGGACCTATATCAAGTTCTGGGCCAGCCTGTGCTACATAACAGCCTATCTCAAAAATGAAGAGGGCAAGAGACATTTTGTAGAGGAAATGCTGTCTGGCCTTTCCAACTCTCCAACATTAAGTTTAGCTTTATTCCATGGTAAAAGTCTAAACATATACACAAGATCTTTGGTATTTAATCACATCCTAATAAATTTTATGAAAACAAATTGGTACCTGAAAGACATCACTGTAGCAAATATGGTTGGCATTTGTTTTGAGAAAGGGTCTCACTGTGTAGCCCAAGCTGGCACAAAACTCTTTATATAGATCAGACTGGCCTATAACTCAGAGAGAGTCTGCCTCTGCCTCTGCAGAATTTGGATTAATGGCATGTGGCACCCAGTTATAAAAAGGAAGAAGGCTGTCACTTTATCAAAATATACCGTTGTACATAAGGTTCAGACTTCAAAGTTTACCTCTCAGATGTCTTCATCTGAAAAATAAAATTACCACTAAAATTAAATAACATTGTTTTATCTTCTCACTATGTTGAGTAACTATGTATTGAGATGTTGATATATTATTTAGTTCTCACTATGTTGAGTAACTATGTATTGAGATGTGGATATATTATTTATTGGAAGTGTGCTCCATGCCTCCCTTGAAAAAAGCAAAATAACCCCACCAAAGCTGGCCTGGAGAGGAGTCAGAACAGAGCCCTTTGAGTCATGATGGAAGGCACAGCTCTCCTCTGAGAGCACCACTGTGGTTCATGTCTCAAAAGGACACCTGTTCATTGTCTCCTTCTCAAGTAAGATCGGAGCACCCAGTTTTCATCATCAGTTCAAAGCAGGCTCACCCTTGTGGGTGCACACAAAGAGCAGACATCTGTAGTATTGTTTGGCTTGCTAGGCACCCAGAATTTTTTCTCAGCCCTCACAATTGTAAAATAATACTGCCCCCCCCCACCCTGCTTACAGCTGCACAGGCACAATGGGAGCCCTGGCAATCACCCTCAAAGGAAACCCTCTGGAGAGCGAGGCTGAGCATAGAGTCAGCTGGCTCCGGTTCTAACCATAAATCACTTTCCTGCCTACACCTTCTATAGTAACGTGGGCATGCCAAGTACTCTGTCATTTTTAGGCATACTTAAAGAAGTGTTATTTTGAAAGTGAGGCGTCCAACGTTGCTGATGGGACACACGTGAACTCATGAAGACCAGACTCATGAACAGGGAAAGGTAATATAGTCAGATATGAAATGATCTGTGTATGATAAAGTTGCCAATAAAACCATCCTGCACAGGGGCAGGGATCAGGAGAAAAGAGGATGATATATGAGGACATAGGAGGTGGAAAGCTTCTGGCTTAGGGATGGGGCCTCTCTACCTGCCCGAGCTGTGTACTGTACACATTTAACAACTTGTTAAAAAAAATAACAACAGCAAAACAATGACACAGTGAAACTCATTACTTTGTATGCTAACCTGAAAGTATCAATATATATATATATATATATATAAAAAAAACAGTTAAAGGTGGCTCAAAAAAGTGAAGGTGTTGTTAGAGATTAGCCACACGGAATAGAGCAGACAAGACTGCTCCTCAGCCAATCAGGTTAATAGTGCCTATTTTAACACAAACCCAAGTACTTCAGAGGGCTGGGGAGATGGCTGTTTATAAAGTGCTTGCCTTGCAAATACAAGGGACTGAGTTTCATCCCCAGAACCCAGGAGAAAGACGCCATTAAAAAGCCCCTCCGATGATCTTCCAGGAGTCACACAGATGACCCCGATTAAATGGGTCACAAAACAAAACCCAAGGTCATAAGACTGGGAAAGGGATTGGTAGGATGGTGGGTGGGTTGATGGGGATGGGAGGAGATAAAGGGGTGAAAAGTCATCAGAATTCATTCTAGGCATGTATGAAATGGCCAGATAACAAAATTAACCAACAGGGAAGAACAAACCTTCCAGGGATTGAACTCGGGGTGTCAGGCTTTGAGGCAGGTGCCTTTACCTGCTGAGCCACCATCTCACCATCCCCTCCCTTTTGCTTTAGTCACCCTATCTACTGCCCTCTTTCCCCACTTTCTTGTCTTCCAATTAATGACTCCTATGGCATTGGATGCACACGTCCAGGAGAGCTCTAAGGAAATGGTGCCAGTTTCACGGTTCCTACATTACTATGTGCGATGCACTTTTGCCAACAGTAACTCAACCTGGAGAACCCAGCACATCCTGAACTTAGGGAAAAAGATCTCTGGTTTAAAACGAAAACTAAAAACCC